AAGGATGAAAAGGAGCAACAATTGATCAAAATAAGGTAAAGTTGGACATAGTTTGGAAGTTGAGGACCAATCATTTTTAAAAGTTGAAAGACCTCAATTGCAATATCTAAGGACTCAATCCAAACAAGAAAGAAAAAACATGGATCAAATTGTAAAGTCAAAGTTTAAATTCCTTCATTTTGAATAATCCTAATCGAATTAAGATTAGGTTCCCAATTCTTTTGGGACTTTATTGTAAACCTAATTTAAGTCTATTAGTAGAATCTTTCCTTCCAAATTAGGGGAAACTAGAGATACAATCTTGATGCAAAATTATACATTCAAATACGTTGAATTCTAAGATTTATATCTCAATGTGTGATCTGAAGTTTGAAGAACACAATTGATCGGGAGATATACAAGCTTGGAAGAGGAGATAAACAATCCATTATTGGGAATTAGGTGCTAAGGAACAACAATTGCCATGTTTATTTTCTTAATTTCTTGTATTGAATCACATGATTTTTTCTTCTCTTTATTGTTTAATTTCTTAATTATGATTAGTTAAATAATTGATTGTTAGGTTGAAATATGTAATTTATGTTTAATAGTTATTTAATTCAACCAATTTCTTACAACGTTGATTATGTGTTAATTATTTATTTTATATTTAATGCTTCAATTGTTTGATCACCAATCGATTGATTTATTAATAATATTGAGATCGAGTGGTGATGTAAGATTCTACCTCTGCAATAAATAACATATATATTATAAGAAATCGAAATATAATTTATGACTACACAATCTATATAGAATTTTTGTAGGTTAAAGTATTTATGTGCGTGTGAATTTAGGTCTATGAATAGGAATATTTTATTCCAAAGTTTGAGGCGGTTAGAGATACAATTAAGATTACACATCCAATTACAAATTATTTTATTAAAATTTAAATGTAGAATATCCTTTCTTTTTCTATTTTTCTCTTGCTATCCGAAAAGAATCTTTGTAGATTTCTGGTAAGTTTGGGGAAACTTTATCCAAAATTAATTAAAATGGGAACTTTTTTACTGAGAACAATATAGGCTAATTCTATATTCACACCATATGTTTTTGCTAACCACACAATATTGTAATTACAATGCTCATTTATGCATTTAGGTCCCTTAACTCTTTTCTTCACATTCTTATCTTTGTTTTTCTTTAATTTGCACATCTTGTCTCTAGTGACTATTTTCATCAAACAAAATTCATTAAGAGGATGTATTCATTTTTTGCATTTATGTCTTCAATTTTTTCCCGTTGCATTCTTATATTTAACATTCAATGGAGAGTAATGTTATTTAACATCACTAGCTTTATCAGCATCAGTTCATATGACACTAGGTATATTAAATGAAGGGTCCAATTAAGTGTGCTACATAAACTACATTTAATTGAGTATATCATATAGTGTCAAATGGACTGGTATTGTAGCACGTATTATGCTAGATATCATTATTCTTCAATTAATTAGCACATCTTGCCTTTGATGACGTCTTCTATCCAAAATTATGCTCTAATGTGAGAAAATATTTCATCAAACTTTTGTATTTATTTATCTCAGTATCTAAAATATGATAGACAAATAAGTCTTATTACCCCCTCTAATGGATTTTTGGTCATTATTGCTAATTAATCAAGGGCCATGGACGAAAAGAGATGAAAAAGAGTTAAAGGCGTAANATTTGATGTGCATCAGGGCCAAAGGCACTGAGTTGTGATCATTGGCCCGTTTTCAATCAAATTAGACTAACAATTTGCCAAAAACGAACAAACTCGAAATTAAATGAAATTATTATTTTGCCTTTATCAACAATTGATCGGGAGATATACAAGCTTGGAAGAGGAGATAGAAAATCCATTATTGGGAATTTGGTCTCAAGGAACAACAATTGCCATGATTATTTTCTTAATTCTTTTATTGAATCAGATGATTTTTCTTATTTTTATTGTTTTCATTTCTTAATTATGATTAGCTAAATAATTGATTGTTAGGATGAAATATGTAATTTATGTTTAATAGTTATTTAATTCCAACTGATTTCTTACAACCTTGATTATGTGTTAATTATTTATTTTATATTTAATGCTTCAATTGTTTGATCACCAATTGATTGATTTGTTAATAATATTGAGATCGAGTGATGATGTATGATCCTACCTCGTGCAATAAATAACATAAGTATTATAAGAAATCGAAAAGATAATTTATGACTATGCAATCTATATAGAATTCTTGTAGGTTTAAGTGTATATGTTTGTGTGAATTTAGGTCTATAAATATGAATATTTTATTCCAAAGTTCGAGGAGGTTAGAGTTACAATCAAGATTACACATCCAATTACAAATTATTTTATTAAAATTTAATTGTAGAGTATCCTCTCTTTTTCTATCCTTCTCTTGCTATCCGAAAAGAATCTTTGTAGATTTCTGGTAAGTTTGGGGAAACTTATCCAAAATTAATTAATATGGGAACTTTTTATTGAGAACAATATAGGCTAATTCTATATTCACACCATATGTTTTTGCTAACCACACAATATTATAATTGCAATGCTCATTTATGCATTTAGGTCCCTAACTCTTTTCTTCACATTCTTATCTTTGTTTTTCTTTAATTTGCACATCTTGTCTCTAGTGACTATTTCCGTCAAACAAAATTCATTAAGAGGATGTATTCATTTTTCGCGTTTATGTCTTCATTTTTTTCCCGTTGCATTCTTATCTTTAACATTCAATTGAGAGTAATACTATTTAACACCACTAGTATTATCAGCACCAATTCATATGACACAGTATATTGAATGAGGGGTCCAATTAAGTGTGTTACATAAACTACCTTTAATTGAGTATATCATATAGTGTCAATTGGACTGGTATTGTAGCATAAATTATGCTAGATATCATTATTCTTCAATTAATTAGCACATCTTGCCTTTGAAGACGTCTTCTATCCAATATTATGCTAATGTGAGAAAATATTTCCTCAAACTTTTGTATTTATTTATCTCAGTATCTAAAATATGATAGACAAATAAGTCTTATTACCCCCTCTAATGGATTTTTGGTCATTATTGCTAATTAATCAATGGCCATGGACGAATAGAAGATGAAAAAGAGTTAAAGGCGTAAGTGTGAAAATAAGTAAAAGTTAAAATTTTGGTATTGTTAATGAACATATTGTGAGAGCATAATTACCTTTTTATTTTTATTGAGACACAAAAAATCCATCCACCTTGGATAAATCAATTTTTGTCCTTCAATCTACACTCCAAATGAAAACACCGATTTTCCCTTCCAAAGACACTATCATCTACTCTCGACATTCTTTAACCCATAGCTCATCAATCAACACGTCTTTGGTGGCGGAAATGGTGAGGTAGAACTTTTAGAGAAAGTGTCAAGTGTTAATAAAAAAAAAATTGTCTTCGTTAAATAAAGTAGTAAGAAAGAAATTAGGAAGAAGGAGAATGAGAATGAGAATGAGAATGAGCTTATTAACTCGTGCGTTTGAGTTTTATACCATATTTGGAATATGGTTCGAGGTCTGATCGAGGTAGTAAGGTCTAATGATTAAAGAACAATGCTAAGTGTACATCATTTGGTTGACATCTTTGTGTACACCCCATTGAAGTTCAAAAAATGTTGGACATGAAAGTGTATTTTTTTTTAAAAAAAAATTGTCAAATCATGCGTCGCCACGTGATAAAATGTCAATTATGTACATGTAGCATGATTGATGATTGAGTAATAGAGCAATAGTTGTATCCATTCTCTCATAAGTTGTGTACTTTCTTGATGTGTACCTTTTTACGAAAGAATTTCACTCTTCATTCAAAAGTTATAACCTTTATGAATAGTCTTGCCTTTTAGATGAATGGCACATCCAAATGTTATATTAGAATATTTCATAAAGCATTTTTTACACAATCAAATTGATTTTAAAAAATCTCTAATTTTGGGTAAATGTTTCACTCAACATTAATGTCAAAGTTCGATGATAACGACAAAAGTTTTGTTTGATGATTCCTATGCCACTGACTTAGCAGGAACAAAATCTATTTTATCTTGGGAGACAATTGCTCATAACCTTGAGCAGCAGAGGGAACAAAATTATTTCGAAGAAAGACTGAATTTGAACATGCTCAAATTATTCTAATTACTTATTCGAATAATCTATAAGTTAATTTTAGTTTTGGTTAATCAAATTTTCATTTATAATATATGAAAAGTGAAAAGTAACTTCATTTCTATTGCAAATATAATCTAGCACTTTCCACCAATTTGAAGTGAAAAGTAACTCAATATTTGTACGGTATTCTTGATATGAATTGTATCACTAATTAGAGTCAAAGAACACACACACAAAAACGACATGATTGTACATGACGCTTCACGCGTGAAAACATAAATAAAATGAAAAATAAAGTAAAATTTGCATAATTAATTTTGTGAAGAATTGGATAACCTTCCATGAATGGCTACAAAATCCAATGTTAACAACTGAAATGAAAACTAGACATAGGGCGCGTTTGATTTAGGATTTTTGAGATTAGACTTTGTGAAAAGTAATTTTTTTTCCTTGAAGTTGGATTAAAAAGTAAAGAAACATTATAGGTCCAAATGTAAAATTATTTTATTATTGAAAATAAAATTTGAATTATTTTTTTTTTAAAGAGTCTGTATAAATGGAGGCCTAGTTTCATAAATGGCTAAATTTCACAAATAGTAATAAGAAATGATTTTTGTTTTTTTTTTTGGACTCTCCAATGGAAAAATAATTAATGATACCACTTTGCATGGTAAAATACAAATTAATGATTCCAATTTTTCTTCACATGCACGCAGGTTTTGTTATCTTGTCTGTAATTAAAAATAGAAAAAGAAAGCACATTTGATAAATTTGGCCTCCGTTTGATCTTTGCTCTTTATTAGATGTAAATACAGAAAACTCAGAAATTACATTTGTAAATATAATTTACAAAAAATAAAACTTCCAAGACTCTTCATCTGAGACCATCAAAGGGAACTGAGGTTCCACCATTAAATTGCTGTTACTATTACAATTATTAAACAAATCCAAACTGCTCATGAAATCATCGTCCCAGATACTGCTCATGATTTCGTTGTAATCGAACGTTGCGGGAAAATCAAAATCTTCTAGCAAATTGGACGAGATCCCACCACCGCCAGAGGAGGAGGAGGCCGCTGAGGAAGAGGATGATGATGGAGATGATGATGAATTTTCCCAAGGAATAAGAATTTCATGGGGTTCAATTACTGGAATTTCATCAATGCAGAAGTCATTATTGACTTCCATTGAATCAAATGGGCTAGTGGGTATGTTTTTGTCTCCATCTTTAGCATGATCAGTAATTGTTGACTGCAATGGGGTGTCATTGTCAACCACCACCACCTCCTTGTTCTGATCCACCACTTCAGTCTGTGCCGCCTCTGGTTGAGGAGGTTCATTATTTTCTGGCGTGTTAGTGAGCAGTGGCTTGTGGGTGAGAGGATCGATCCCCATCTTTCTCAGCTTTTTCTTGATGTGGGTGTTCCAGTGATTCTTGATCTCATTATCAGTTCTTCCAGGCAGATGAGAAGCAATTTTGGACCATCTACAAAACCATTAAAATCAAGAAAATGATCATAAGTTAAAATGTCCAATAGAAATTATATTATAATGTAACACAACCAATAAATAAATGGATCAAATGGAAGCTATGATTGGTCAGCTTGGCAATATTGCAAAGAAATACACTAAAGTGGAAAGTGATAATTATAATCTGTCTGCCACATTCTGCTCTTGAAATCATTTTACATTCTTTGAATTAATTTCCAAAAAAAGAATTAAGAAGAAAAGTTGAGAAAGAGCAGGAAATTGAACTTTAGCAAAAAAATAAATAAATAAATTAAGTACCTGTTCCCAAGCTGAGAATGAAGATCAATAACCGTTTTCTCTTCATGTTCTGAGAGAAGTCCCCTCTTCAAGTCTGGCCTTAGATAATTTGTCCATCTCAATCTGCAGCTCTTTCCACACCTCAAGAGTCCTACAAACAATAAGAAGAATCCCAAATTAATTCTCAGTAACAAGCTAAAACTATCTCTCAACTTATAGAAAAAAGTGGGAAAAAACCTGCAAGTTTAGGGACAGCTCTCCAGCAGTATTGGCCATTGGTGAGGATGAAATTAATAAGTTTTTTGTCTTCTTCAGCAGTCCATGGACCCTTCTTTAATCCAACTTTGTCACAGCAAGGTTGCCTTCCCATCTTCAATTTAAGCTCTCACAAACCAAACTTAAGTGATCGTACAATTGCTTATAAGTTGATTTATTTATGCAAATAAGGAGGAGAGAACTGGACAGACTAGCCTACAACATACACCACAACTCCCTATTTATAGAAAAAAAAGCACCTAATCCATCCAGCGACCCAAAGAACAAAAAACAATAGAAAAATATTAAAAATCCCCCAGTCCTCTCCTACCCCACCACTACCACCCCCATCCTCCCCACCCCCAATAAAAAATATAACAATAACAAAAAAGAACACGGATATGTTATTTTGTTTAATGTAAGAACGTAGAAATTTCAGACTGCCATACGTGTTGTTCGAAAAATGCTGTGCGGGCCCGCGCATGGTAATGACAGCCTTTGGAAAGCGCCACCTCACCTGACACCATCCAATCCCATTTTACTTGAATTTCAAGCAAAAATACATGGCAATCACTATATTGATCAGAAATGCAGCAGAACTGTTGTAAATTTACTTCTTGTTTACCAGTATTTTTGCACACCCCAAAATGGGTCGACACCCGTATTTGCCAAGCAAAAGTTTCAAGATTGTTAGCCGACGATTAAAAGACAAGAAAAATTACGACAACATTCAATATTAAGTAATATTTTTTCAGGGCTGATCCTCGACTGTATGTAAATGTTTTGTATTAATTGAAGGATTTTGTTAACATCCGCCTGACAATTTAATTAAGTTGGGTTATTATATGCACTTGGATCATGATCCATTAAGGTCGGACCTGTAAGTTCAGCTTGGAAGAACGACTACCAAGGTTTGAGGAAACATAACGATTGCAGAATCTTTATATATTGGCGTAATCTTCAATTAATTAATGATTTTGAGAAAGAATTACATCAATGCCCATAAAACCCACCAATTGTATGTTGTAGCTTTTTTTTCACAACAATTATGGAATCCAATTGGCATACAAGTATTAAATAAATGTAAGATCTTTGCAAAGCTAAATCTTCTTACTGTAGATATGAGTTGGGGTTGCTTCTTTATGCTTCTGCCCCGTATGATCTTTCTGCCTCACTATGGTGGATTATCTGAATTTGTTTCCCTCGTGGCCTCCTGCCTAATGGTACTCC